TGCAATGGCATTAACCATTTCGGATAATTTCCAATAAATGAGTTTATAAATGAATACACATGTGCCATAGCTGCATTTAGATTGAATTTTTAAACCATTTTAATTTTTTAATATGCGGGGTGATGTGATCAAATTTACTGATATTACCTAATGCTACTCTGGCAGCAAAATTTTGTAATTTTTGCACTTTTGCATTCTGGGTTTTGTTAGTCGAACCCCAAAATGTTTGAACAATAGTTAATTATGCTTAGGGCTAGAGTTTGTACAACCATGATTCTAGTTCAGTAGTGATCTGAGTTCGTATATGATTTAGATATACCAGGGTACCCACAACTTTTCCTGTGTATTTTGTCAACGTGTGGTTCAAATATCATGAATCTGTCTAAGAGTATTCCTAGATTATTCACTGAAGTTCTCGGTTTGATAGAGCAGCCTTCAAATTCTATGACTGTGTCACTGGGGAATTTTAGCTAAGTTCTGCCTACTACCTATGGAATATACATTGAGTTTTATGTGGATTAGTTTAATACCATTGGTGTCAAAATATAGTTTAGCTTGTGCTAAAATATCTTGCTTGTTTCTTATTAATGTATTAAGTTGTTTACAGAGTCACTATGAAGAAACTGTGAATCATCAGCGTAACTGCACTAGAAGGCAATTATGGGCCATTGCTGACAAATCATTTATGAAAATTGTAAATAAGATCGGACCTAAAATAGATCCTTGTGGAACACCAAAAGGTACTTCTTGTTTTGATGACATACAATTATTGATTCTTACCGATTGGGCCCTTGTATATAAATAACTTTTAAACCAAAAGGTATCAATTCCATGATTTACTAATTTATTAAGGAGAATTTCATGGTTAACACTATCAAAAGTCTCAGAAAGTCGCATAATGTTAGCAGATTTACCTGATGTTTGTCTATGTTATTATAAATCTCATTAGTAATTTTCAGTAAAGCTGTTTCAGTTGATAATCTATTTCTAAAAACCATGTTGTGTTTTAGATAATAAGTTATTGGCCTCCAGGAAATTCGTTAGTTGATTTGCTACTATTTTTTTCAGAATTTTGGATAATATAGGGAGTATAGTGATTGGGCGATAATTATTGACATCGTCTATATCCCCCGACTTGAAAATTAGTGTTACTATACCATGTTTCCAGAGCGATGGAAAGACACCAGTGATCAGAGAGGTGTTAATAATGACCGTCAAATAATGTACAATTGCGGGTAGACTATCTCTGATAAAGCGCAAAGCAATACCGTCTGCTCCTACAACATTTGTTTCGCGAAGGTGTTTTATTACTAGGATGATTGTTTCTACGTCCACTGGTTGTGGTCTGAAAAAATTAGTTGTAATACTTGCCCGATCTGTGCTTTGTTGTAATGTAGAAGCAATTGTTTTCTCGTAAGTCAGTTTACCAATTTTTGAAAAAAAGTAATTAAAATGGTATGTTGTTTGTGAGGGACTTGTGCAATCACTAGTGAGGTGATTGTTGTGAGGCACTAGTGTTTTAACAATTTTCCATGTTTTATCAGAGTTGTTCTTATATTCTGTGAATTTATTTCTGAAGTAATTTCTTTTTGCACATTGAATTAGTAAGTTTACATTTTTCTTTTTTGCTTTGTAATCTACCTGAAAGACAGCCTCATTTCTATTACTTTTAAGAACTTGGTGGACATTATTTCTATCGATAATGGCTCTCTTGATGTTGTCATTTATCCATGGAGCAGGGGGACGTCTGACGGTTCGTGTTATGTAAGGAGCCAGCGTATCAATGCTGCTTTTAATAACTTCCGTAAGGATAGCTACTTGGTTGTTTACATTATCTGTCAATGAAATATCTGATAGAGTCATTTCTTTAGACGAGATAAGATCGCAAAAAGATTGAGGGTCGTAGTGTTTGAAATCGCGAAAAGTTTTGATTACTGGTGACCTCTTTGTTTTCGTAATATTTAACGTCATCGTGATAAGTTCATGGTCAGCAACATGGCACGGGATGACATCGAAGTGGAGAATGAGGTCTGATCTGTTAGTTATTATTAAATCTAATAGAGAAGAGGTGTTTTCAGTAATTCGTGTAGGTTTATCTATTATTTGTTCTAATTTATTTTTCTTTATCATCTTAGCTAACTTAGCATTAGATTTTGTTAGATCATCATTTAGGTCACCTAAAATGAAAAGTGGTTTCTTTTTTAAAGACATCTCTCTAAAAACCTTTTCAATATATTCAAAAGATTCCGAGGTAGCATGGGGGTGCCTATAGACAGCGCCAATAACAAAGGAAGGAAGCATGTCGCTTTGTACGGTAACCCAGACTTCAGGGTATCCCGTACATATATACATACTCCTCCTCCTCGCCCTGCATCACATCTATAAACTTTAAAAGTTGGAATATTTATGAAGTTACTAACCATTTCCTGGTAGAGCCATGTTTCACTAATGCATAGTATGTCTATGTTTCTCTCCTCAACTAGCATTTTAATTTCTTCAAAATGTCCGAGGAGAGAGTGAGCGTTTATATGTTCTATTTTTATGACATTGTGCGATCTAGTCACTGGTAACGCTGACGGCGTTGCCTTTCAGACATTCTGATCGCGCTTGTACTTGTTTTTGTTTAAGAACACTTTAACATTGTCGGGAAAAGCATCAGAGTCTATAAATACCTCGGGTTTTATGTTCTTTCCCCGTACAGACACCGTGAAGCTGGTGTAGTAGTCATGTGTGATTACTGTCTTATGGGCTTTTACGCTTGAAATGTTTTGAAACTTTTCATATATGTTGTTCTATGTCCTCTTCGTTTGTGTCTGGGTGACAACTGGTGATGTACAGGTACACTGTGTCTGGACGATCTGCTCCCTTTAACGGCTTTGGTGTT